GAGATCGAATTTTCCACTTCTTGAGAAGTGATTGAACAGTACTGACTGTTGTTTTCAAGGCTTTGGATATCTTTTTATATCCTTTTCCATCTTTAAAAAGTTCCATTACCTTGTTACGCAGGTCTTTTGACAGTTCTATCTAGCCTGCTCAGTGCATCCCTGTGAGAGCTAACAAACTCATTGACTAGTTATACACAGAATCTTATTGCAATTTAAAAAGTCACAGGTGTGGGAAATTAACCTTTAATTGTCATTTTAACCTGTGCGTGTCACCTTGTGTGTCTGTAACAAGGCCAAACATTCAAGGGACTGTAAACCTTGATTAGGGACATTTGGGTGATTTCTGTTATCATTATGATTAAAAAAGGAGTCAACTATGTGATAATAAATGGCTTCATATGATCACTATCCTCCAATAAAATACTTTTTTTGCATGATCAGTAATATTTTCAAAATCAATGCCAAAATTTCACAATTTCTGCCAAGGTATGCAAACTTTTGAGCACAGCTGTATATTCTCACTCAGGGCTAAAGTCCAAACTCGTAGGACTCTGGATAGGGAGGTTAGTGCCACTGATGGATGCATAGCTGCTTCTAAGGTAGAGTAGATTTTAATAAGATTTGCATCCACTCGTTTTTTCATTGTGTCTCAGACTGACACCACACTATCAATAGGAAGGACTGTTTTCTTGGCTACTTTAGTAATAACCGCATCCACTTTAAGTGCAGTATCCAAAATTTTAGTGTTGGCTGCAAAAAAAAAAATCAATGTCTAAATTTCCCTTATGTTGAAAGCATAGGCGTGCGCAGCCTATTGCATTAGGTTGTGCACCCTAAAGCACAAACACAAGCCGCGTGTATATATTATATATATTCAAATAGTGATCAGCACTCTCGGATTTTTAGAGATTAAAAACTTACAATTTATTAAATATCCATTAATAAAAAAGATCGTTTCAGTCCCAGCAGGGACTTTCATCAGGATCAGGCATGATCCTGATGAAAGTCCCTGCTGGGACTGAAACGTTGATCTTTTTTTTAATGGATATTTAATAAATTGTAAGTTTTTAACCTTTAAAAATCCGAGAGTGCTGATCACTATTTGAATTTTCCTGGATTTCAAGCACCCGATTACCAATTCATCAAAGCGCGAGTGCAAGGACATTATATTATATATATATATATATATACACACACACACACACATATATATATATATACACACACACACATATACATACATATACACACACACACACATATACACATATATACATATACACACACTGCTGTGTGTGTGTGCTGTGTGAGGGTGGTTTGAGGGTGTTGTGTGTGTTTGTGTGTAAGGGTGCTGTGTGTGAGGGTGCTGTTAGTGTGATGTGTGTGTGAGGGTGCTGTTAGTGTGATGTGTGTGTGAGGGTGGTGTTTGTGTGCTATGTGTGTGTGAGGGTGTTTGTGTGTGTGTGTGTGTGTGTGTGTTTGTTAGGGTCCTGTAAGTGTGTGCGCGCTGTAAGTGTGTGCGCGCTGTAAGTGTGTGCTGTATGTGCATGGGCGTAGGAACCGGGGGGGATGGTGGGGAACGCATCCCCCCAGCAAATCATGCGGGAGGGACAGGTTATGGGGAAATCGTCCCCAGCCCCGCTGGCCCCCCCATGCTGCAGCTTTGCCCAGGCGGTGCGTCCATGAGGGCGGACCGCACCGCCCGGGCGCAGCCTGAGGAGAGGGGCTGACAGGAGGGAAGCGCTCCCTCCTGTCACTCCCTCTCTGTAGCGTGGCCGAGCCCTGTATGGTCCGCGGGTACAGGAGAGCAGCTGTCTCCTGTACCCGGCCGGACTAAAGGAAGTGCACACTCAGTGTGTATTTTCCCCAGTCCCGCCGGGTACAGGAAACAAAAGCTACCTGTACCCGCTGACTATACTGGCTCGCCACGCCACAACTGAGGTTGGGGGGAAGTTACAAGGAGGGAAGGGGGAAAGAGGACAAGGAGGGAGGGGGGAAAGAGTGACAAGGGAGGGAGGGGGGGAAAGAGGACAAGGGGAGGGAGGGGGGGGAAGAGGACAGGAGGGAGGGGAGAAAGAGGACAAGGAGGGAGGGAGGGGGAGAAAGAGTGACAAGGGGAGGGAGGGGAGAAAGAGTGACAAGGGGAGAGTGACAAGGAGGGAGGGGGGGAGAAATGACGAGGGAGGTGGGGGAGAAGAGAGGACTTAGGAGAGAGAGGAGGGAGGGAGGGGAGAAAGAGTGACGAGGAGGGAGGGGAGAAGAGAGTGACGAGGGAGGAGGGAGGGAGAAAGAGTGACGGGGAGGGAGGAGGGGAAAGAGAATAACGAGGGAGGGAGAGAAAGATTGACGAGGAAGGGAGAGAAAGAGAGTGACAAGGGAGGGAGGGAGGGGAGAAAGAATGACGAGGGAGAGAGGGGGAGAAAGAGAGCAACGAGGGAGAGAGGGGGAGAAAGAGAGTGGCGAGGGAGGGGGAGAAAGAGAGTGACGAGGGAGGGAGGGAGAGAGATTGACATCCATCACACACACACAATCGCACAATCATGCAAACCTTACACACACAGAAACACACAATGCGTTCCTTACACACACTAAATGCACCCCGTACACACATTCAATGCACCCCTTACAGACGCACACACTGCATCCCGTACATACACAGAAACACACCTTGCAGCCCTTACACATACAAACACAGATTCACACAATGCATTCCTTACACACATATCAGGACATCCCCTACAAACTCCACCCCCTGTGAACAAACTCATTGGTGGAACATGAAGGTGGACCCTGGGACCCAGACCTTGAGCTGTGTAAAGGGCCCCCCAAAAAATGGAGCTGCTTCCCGTTCTCCCAGAACATTGATTTTTGTGACCACAGTTACAAACCGCCTCCAGAGAGCCTGTTCTACACCAGACCAGTGGAGCCAGACTGCAGCTAGAGCCCATCATCATCCTCATCTGGTTGTAAGTAGGCAATCTAGCATATTATTCGTGGCACTAATCTCTAATTTACATGGAAAGGGGTTCTAATATAAATGGAAGGGGTAGAGACGGGTAGTAAAATTTATGGAATGCATTTCTGAAAGTGTCACTGAATGGCAGTTAGGAAATGTGGTCACCCTAACTCAGGGGCATTATTACACAATCTGTATATGTATAAAAAAAAAATATAAAAAGTAATCTGCAAAGTACAAAATGTTTGTGTCATATGTTGTGCTAAATATTAAGCTAGGAATGTGCATATTTTTTTAAAATTATTTTTAGAATAATGATACAGACATTTTATTTCTTACATTTGTGATGATTCTTTTTTCCTCTCTATATTCAAGGGACACTATAGTCACCAGAACCACAACAGCTAAACGTAGTAGTTCTGGTGTCTATAGCATGTCTTTGCAGGCTTTTTAATGTAAGCACAGCCATTTCGTAAAAAGGCAGTATTTACATTACTGATGAGGAATACCTCCAGTGGACACTCAGATGGCCACTAGAGGTGCTTCCTAGTGGAGACTGAATGCCGCCCTATGAAGTATCTGCGCATGTGCGGCAAAGCTGCGCATGCGCACCAGAGAGCAATGACGCTTCTGAATAGAAGCATTTTATTGCTCCCTGCTCGCACCCTCCTATTTCGTTATTTTGACGAAATAGGGGGCGCAGCATCAGGAGGATCCCGGCGCTGTATCCAGGTAAGTAAAATCCCTTCCCTGTAGTGACCCTTTAAAGTTATTATTTAATCATTTATATGGCAACTGCAAATTCCGTAGCGCTGTGCAATGGGATAAACAACTCATAGTTTACAGAATAAGAATATACCCGGCGAGTAAAAATGCTATCCCCAGATTTTTTTGGGTTCCTACGCCCATGTGTATGTGTGTGTGGGTGCTGTGTGTATGTTGTGTGTGTGGGTGCTGTATGTGTGCTGTGTGTGTGTGGGTGCTATATGTGTGAAGGTGCTGTATGTGTGTGTTGTGTGTGCTGTGTGTGTGTGTGGGGAGGGGGGATTCTTGTTCCTGCTGCTTTCCCTTGTGGTCCAGTGGAGAGTGAACTCTAGCCCCTGTGGGGATAGAGTTCACTTTTGCGAGATCTGAGCGTTGCCGCGGCAACACACAGATCTCGTGAGAGGAACCTGGTGGAGCTGCTGGTTGAGCTCCCCGGATCCTCTCCTGACTCCTGCCATGCTGCAGTGGGGAGGGAGGCTGAGAGCAGAGCCGGCGCTTGGATCCTTTGATCTCCCTTGCCGGTCTCACTCCATAGGCGCGCCGCGGGGATTAGGGTGTGCCCAGGTTGCTTTTCTTTTTTTGCCATTCAGATTCTACTAAATCTTTCATGGCAGAGTGAATAGGAAAGTTAGCTCTTTTCTTATTAAATTCTCAAAATATATGATTCTCCTTTATTGTTAGATTTCACTTATGTTTTGTTAAAGGAACTGAGACTGGGTGAAAGTCTAACGGAGGAGGGAAAGGAGTTCCACAGGAACAACGTAGCCCTACAGAAGCCTTGAAGGTGAGCATCAGAGGTGGGAGTATGGACAGAAGATAGATAAAGGTCTTTGGCACAGTGTAGACAGGACACACATGGGATATACTTGTGTATTAGGGAGGATAGGTAGGCATTATGTATGGATTTAGTTGATAAGTTAGCAAAATAATATAAGCTCACCTTCTGTTTCTATGTCTTTGCCTTGAGGAGGAGGAAGCGGAGGTCATAATATAAGCAGGCTATACGAATAAATATAATAATAATAATAATAATAATAATAATAATAATAATAATAATAATAATAATAATAATAGTAGTTATCAAAGTAAAGACCAAAAACTGCTAAGCAAATTAGCAAGTGTGGCTACAGAAACTTTGCCATCATTAAAACATTAAAAGGAATAAAAGTATTAACTGTAAACAGAATAATCCCTGTTTTCAACCAACCGAATGGTATAAAATGTAATAAATTTTGCTGGACCTTGAAACTGGTGCAACATTTTTTTTTTTTTTTTTTTAATTCTTTATTTTATTTGTGCATACATAATTCACATCTGGCTTACAATGCCACAACAGCTAGAGTAAGCATTTTTCGACATAGCTTGACAGTAGTTAGGCATTAGTGGATACTGCACAGTTTTATATATAACAACATTGCTTATCTAAGTGTTGTTCTGTGTTGCTGCATATAGAAGGTAAAGTACAAGATTAAACATAGCAGAGTAATATAAGTTTAGTGCTATAGAGTAAGGTGTTCCTATTGCAGGTTATGCTAGGTGTACTGGTAGTTGCTTAAGAGATTCTACATGTGGATTATTAAGCTATTTATAGCGATTATTCGTAGCAGAGAATACACCGTGAGAGAACAGTATGATTAGTTATTAGAGAGACTAACAATATACGTGTACTATTTGTATGGCTGATAACATAGCATCGCTTGAGTAATAATGTCGTTAGACACGCCAATGATATGTGGGAAGATGAGACGTCCCAACAGTAAGGTGAGAAAGATGTGCTTTAAACAAAACAAAACAAAAAGGTCTAACAGCTTATTGCAAATGTCCGCCGGGTTGAGTGGGTTCTGCAGGGTCTTCTTTATCGGCGTCATCACTGGAGCTAGCCAGCCGGCAGTCCGGGTCTTTTCATCTGCTCATCCGATGCCCAGTCTATGCAGAAGTGTAAGTTCGCGTTGCCGTGGGGTTGTTTGCTGCACGGTGGTGCTTTTCGGCATGTTGTGAGGTCGTGCCTCGCGTGGATGCTTCACGGTGCTTCCCCATGTCGGTGAGTGGTTAGTGGGTCTTGTGGGCATAGAGGTCTCTCCCCAGCGTGTTTGAGGCCTGGTGTCTGCATCTGAGGGAGATGTTGCCGACACCCACCTCTGTGTTCCGGAGCTCTGTCTTCGGCTGGAGGCCGCTTTGCAGGCTCATGGCAGATATCTACCCAGTTGGCGCCGGGTTGTCGGTCGGATCCATGCCGCCACTGACTGCATGGTGATGTGAAGGAACCGGCCTTTAGTATGGAGCCTTGTCCGCAGGCCGTCACTCAGCCGGGCAAAGAACTCCAGGGTGTGCTCTGGTGGTTTAACGAGGGTGGTTTTTGGCGCTAGGCGCTGCTGTGTCGCCATCTTGCATGGGTCCCCACCGTCCCGTTGGGTTGTGAGTTTAGTAGCTTGTAGAGGTTGCTTTGTGGGGGTAATCGTCCCCAGTGAGGACCGGGATATCCCCCGCCGGTCCAGAGGGGGGGGTAGCAGAGCAGTATTCAATGCTAGCTTGTGAGCGGGTCTCGCGCCCGGAGTTCGGCCGCCTCCCCCAGGCCCTGGGCTCCGCTCCAATGTAGGCCGCATGGCCGGTTTGTGTGCCCGTAGCGTATAGTGGTGCATGGCGGGCACGGTTCAAATCCCCTTGTGGTCCTGCATCGGTTTTGGGACCTTGTGAATAGCTGGCACGGGTAGTTAGATCAAGGTTGTCGTATGTTTGCCCGTTGTAGTCAGAGCTCACAGGGAGCACGTCCAACCATCTTGGCGGTCAGGCACCGCCCCCGAAACTGGTGCAACTTTAAGTGCCATAGAATGCTATAGAAATTTGGTGTTGTGCCTTTAAGGCTGCTTGCGTGTGCGTAAAGCGCACCAGAAGACTCCATTTTTTAAATTTGCAGACATCCCAACACATCTCCCACTATTTTCATTTTCAGAATACAGGTGGTCCTCATTTTATATCTGTGTTCAGGGAAATTTCCCCGAACATCGATTTAAGGCATTCCCTGCTGCATTTGTCTATGTTTGGGGAAATTTCCCCAAACATAGACAAGCACACCAGAACAGGGAATCCCTCAACTCCTTACTTACCAACCAATTCGTTCTATGACTAGGTCTTAAGAACAGAACTCAGTCGGTAAGTGAGGAGTAACTGTAATGGTTAGAGACTGCAACCCATATGCTCCTTGCCATCCCTACCATGCTAGTGGAACCATAATACAATTGCCCTCCTGCCCCCTGCTAGCCCTCCATGGTGTCAGTGAGCTTTTTGGTGTGTGTGACACTTTATATCTGTATGTATAAAAGGCTTAGTAAGGGCCCCAATCTGATGGTGACCATGGGCTTCCATATAACCATGACTTGTCTGTCTGCCCCCAATGCATCCAACAGTGTAGTAAATATATAATGCGAATAAGGCCCCAAATGAGCTTGGCTGATAAGTTTGCAAATTGTATTCCTAGTTTCCAATTTTAAAATAAATTAATGGACTGATTTCATATAATGAGACAAATCCTGGAACACGTATTTCTGGGACAGGAGCTGGAAACGTAGGACTGTCCTGGAAAAAATGGACTCCTGTCCAAAACTTTATATGCCTATCACATAAACTATATCGAGGCGATCAAAGGTAGATCCCAATGTGCAGAACTGCAGCTCTTATAAACTACATAGCATTCATCTTATAAGTTCACCACAATATTATTGTTGTAGTGTGCAACAATACATGTACTTGACACATTCTCAGTTCTCTCTCAGCCAGAGTTTTTCGAACATGCTGGTTTAAAGGTCATTATGGGATTAGTCTATGTTTCATTGAATATGTACATTTTTTAGAAATGTGTCCCTGCAGCAGTAGCTGCTTAAACCTTGTGCCGTAGGCATGAACCTTGCATTGCAGAAGACCCCTGCCTTCCCCTGTCAGTTGCTGGACCTGTCAATGTCTTTGATCAGTCAGCTTACTCACGTTCATTGTGGCAGACGACACTCTACGAATGATTTAGCAATGGCCAGTTCACCTTTCTGACTCATATATTAAACTTTCCCTTTCATGCTCGGGATAATTAATGATATCTGATTAGCTTCCAGGTATCTTCCATTATTCTGTCAAGTTAGTAACCACAGCTCCTCCTATGCATGCGGCATCAACAACTCAGAATTCGATTAAAATAAATTTATAAGGCAAACTTTTTGCAAGGTTTATTTTTATTTTATTTTATTTTACAATTGTTTTCTTTTTACACCACTAGAGCCACTTAAGTGTAATGTCTACTGCAGGGTTACAATGTAGGCACACTTGAAAAACAAGATTTAATGCTGAAGAAATACAGAAGAAAAAACTAGCCGCCCTTTGGAAGTGTAAATGTTGTGAAAATACCCAGGCAACAACAACATTTTACAGTTGTTATTAAAAGGTACACTATAGGCACTGTAACTGCTTCATCTTATTAAAGTGGTTATAGTGTCTGGAGTCCCCTGGCATTGTCTTTCAATTCAGTATTAAACTATTTTTAATGTTTTAATTCTAAATGAGTCCCAGCAGACAATCCCCTCTGTGCTGCAGAAAAGCATTAGCCTGAGCAGCAACGGAAGGCTGTGATTGGCTTAGAATGCGTTCAGCCTATCACAGCGCCCACTGCTGTTATAAATTGGTATGACTAGAAGGAAGTGTTTAATCTCTGCCTTAGCCATACTTCCAGTGGGGACTGGGATTTGGGTGGCCAGGGACCTGTATTTAGTGTTAAACTGCTCAAAAATGGTTTAACACTGAATTGAGGGCCAGTGCCAGGGGACTTCAGGCACTGTAACTAATTCAATGAGATGAAATGATTATAGTGACTACAGTGTCCCTTTAAGAGTAACATCCTGGCAGTGACCATTAGGGCTGTCCCATAGCCACAGATTTCCAGTGGGTCAGCCTTTATAAAGAAGTACAGTATGGGGCAGCCCTACCTGGCCACCAGAAGATTTATAATTTGGATTGCTTGTCTACAGCAGTCCCCAATATTGTATGGCCACAATGCATTTTGATTTCTTTTCCATTTTTTTGCTTACAAAGACCCACAATCATTGTCCCTTTGCCTCCTAAACAGGTATTACAATATTTAATTTTGTTTCAGTCTTCGTGTGTCAGTGCAGTCAGTTTGTTCTTGGCTGCCATTTTAGATGCATTGCATATGTTCCAGGAATTGTTATACATTTGGCTTGGAAACTGAAATACAATTTGACATAATTGGAACAGGATTTAAGTTCAGAAGTCTGAAGGAGGACAGGTAGCAGCACTTGGAATAAGATAATGAAAGATGGGGTGGCCAAGATGCATAGGCATCAAAGGAATACAAGGATGAGATAGAGACAAAGCCAAACACTAATGTCAGTCAGTACTTTGAAAAGGGTGAGTACAGATAGCCTTGTATATGGCATAAGCTTGGTTAGGGATTCTGCAGGTCATTCACAGCTAGATAAGAAAAACAGAAACAAACGTGGAACCTATGCCCACCTATGCAGTAGTATTCCATGTGTAGCAGCGTTTCACAATAGGCATATACAATGTATGTGGTGGGTGTGCACAGGCACATACTAATGCATTGCCAGACTGGGCTGCCTGTACACTGTTTAGGTCTCTGCAGGCCTTTGTGCCTGAGTTTGGGCTATTTTTTTTTTTTTTTTTTAAGAAATAGCATGACAATCTCTGTATATATCGGGTCACTAGTGAAACAAGTTTATATTTTGCATGTAACTTTAATTACTAGTTTAAGTAAAGTTAAGATGGTATTTTTATGTGGGTACACACTAATATAATATGCGGAGCACACCTATGCTTTTGACTATGCCCAGAGCAATGCCAACTTACTTATTTTACCTGCTGGTGTATGGGGCTTCCCTTCCCCTTAATCCCTTATTAGCCGCTTCATTTTTCCATACGTGAACAAGGAAGTGTCAGAACCACTACAAACCAGAAGAGTGGAATTATTTACTCTCTCTTTTCTCCATGTGTGCTTGCTCTTCCGTCTCAATAAATCAGAAAAGTATTCAAGCTAAAGCACAATACAAATTGTACTGCTGGAATGGCCAAATTTATAGTATAAACCAAAGGGAAAACGTTACCTGCGCTCTTTCCACATTCCTATGTATTTTTAAACAAATGAGAGGGTATGCCCACCTGTCACATCAAGGCAGTCCTCTTAGGTGGGTCCTAACTCAAACCATTCACCTTGTTTCCTTGAGCTTCTGGCAAAGATATCTCTAATGAGACAGAAAGGGGTATTTTTTATATACATCCCTACATGCTTATTAACCCTTAATAGGGAACACATGGGATGGGCAGCAGCATTGTAACCTAGCTGTGTGATACAAAAGTGAATACAAATACAAAGAAACAAGTCCTGCCCTCAAACTCCCATTACTCCTGGGCAGCAGCAACAACCATAGTACACATCAGCCAAAATTCATATAGTAAAAACCAAAGAAAAAAATGGTACCTGCGCTTGTAGTATATTTGGATTTCAATAAGACTGGGATGATTTGTAGAAATCTCCATTTCCCCTGTTTTTGCCCTCTTAAATCACAACTTTTGACAGGTTGCTTAATGAAAAGAAGCAACTTCAAAGATTCACAATTAGACTGTTTTCTAATTGCTCTTTGAAGCATCTCTGACAAATT